AAACTAAAGCAAATAAGTTTTTTTTATCCGACATCGATCTTTTGACGTCGTCCCTAACTAGGCCTCTTATTTCTCTTATATCGCATACTGTCTGTGCTCAAATCGATTGCAGAGTAATCATTTATTCCCTCTTAATTTACATAATGAAATTAATATGTTTGTTGAGAGTAAATCTGAAATTTAAGTGAAGTGATAATTTTAAAATGTAATTTGGAGTATCTGAGTTTTTTTATTGTGACGTTTATTACTGGCGTCACGTGGTCGGTAATCGATACATACAAGTTGGTGAATATAAAATATGTCAATATATTTAATTTCAAAAGTCAAGATCGTTGTTTAACAACGAAAAACATGCACGGGTTTGTTCAAATGCATTTTCGGTTCGTATCATTACAAAATACACGCTGTACGGGAAAGACTATTTGTTGTCGATAGTACGCCCAGAGCTTCAGACCACATGCCTTCATATGTTTCAAACATCTCCGTGTTTTGTGGCACATAATAATCGGGGTGAAAAATGTCAATTTGTCAGTTCTGGCCTCATTTTTATTTCTGCAACCCAACTTGGTTTTTATCTATATGTATATTTTTAATCTAACACAATTTGCTTTAAACGCACATTTGTAATAAACAGAGTTCTTGAGTATGTAGATTGATAATTCGCACTGGTTCGTTTTAGGTATCTTAGAGCTTGGCTAAGTGTCAAGGTTTGTATTTTTGGAGAAGAGTGCTTTCTTAACTGTTGTAAATGTTGTCAAAGCCGGCTTTATACATTTTTCAAATATAGATTCTGATATGATTTGAGTTATTGGAACTAAGACTGTAACAGAATCATTAATGACTGGAACTAATAACTGAATATTGTTACCAATTCTACAAACTTGCTGTAAATAACTCTCGATCTTCATTGTCACATTGATAAATTTGTTTGATGCCAGAAATAATTTTTATTAGAATGACTTTCCGTAAATTGAAAAAAAAGATGAACAAATGATGAGACAAGAACCTGCTTAAATGGGAAGCTAACAATTGTAGTGATTGCACCATGGAACACTCTACTTCACACTATCTAGTGTTTCACAAAATCTGTAGCATACAGGATTTGAAATACCTCTTCCTTGTAGCAATGATTAGTGTAGCTTTCTTTATGAAAGGTAAATGGCCATAATAAACAACTCTTTGCACTATGTAGCGTGTTAAACTTGTGTTTGAATACAAACTGGTATTTTGTATGTTCTGTCATTGCCCATTACTATTTTAGTTCACCATGTAATATTGAATAGATCATTTGAATATATCTATATGAAAATATATATCCAAATCCACAATAGCTCAGATGTTAGAGGCCCTGTGAGAGAATCTTTATGAAGTCAGTGATCGGATCTCAGGTCATTAAGGGAGCAGACTCACTCTTTTCCAAACCCAAAAATTACAAGTCGAATTACCAAGAGTGAAGACTAAGTATGGTAATCACACAATCCCTTTGTATTCACTGTAGCAGTTCACTGCTATGCATAGACTAGTACTGTAAAATCTGTATTAGAAGCCGCAGCTTCTATTAAAATGGTACAATGCAACAGAGAAGATGCGGCTTCTATTAGAGCATCTACACACATGAGAAACAAAGAATTTTTGGTTCTCATTTTTGTTAAAAGAATGGGGGGCGACTTCTATTAGGGATGCGGCTTCTAATACAGATTTTACGGTAGTACACAAAGAAACTTACAAGCTGACAAGTAAACCAGAACAGTTTTCAACAAAAAACAATTTGATTTACTATGAGTAGTAAAAAAATATAGCAAAAATATAAAAGCTCTTGGAAAACCAAATTTATTGATATTATGCAGATGATAGTTCAGATACACCTACAGTTAATATAATGATGAATATAGTAATAAGAATTCATTCTGAACTGAATTCAATACAGAGTATTAAAGACACCATCATTGACTACAACTGACCAGTGACATCATAATTGTATCTTTGCATAATTTTCATATTACATAAAAGCTTTAAAAAGCTCCAAGGTTTAAAAAAAATATCTAGTGGCAGTGAGTACTCCCACAAAGTAAAGTTTAGTTTCAACACTTTTTGTGTCTTGAAAGTTATCAAAAAGATTGGACTGAATTTTCTTCACACCTTTAAAAGGAACACAGATAGAAGCATATTGCTGGCTTTCACATCAGATCATCCAAGATTCTTTTAGATGTTTTATTTGTTTTCTGTGAAGATAAAAAGAACAAAAATAAATAAATACATTAACAGAATGCCACATACAGAAATATAAAATTATTACCTGGTGTAATTGTGGACAGATGGAAGGACATCTATATTTTTAGTTTTTTACTTTTATTATTGCATTAAAAAGAAGATATGACATACAAACTGGCACATTCGATGACCAAATTTTTTTTTCTTCTCAAGAAAGATGATGGATTAAATAATTGTACTTGTACTAATACAATACTGTAAAATCTCATTATCTGTATTAGAAGCCGCAGTTTCTATTAAAATGGTACAAAACAACAGAGAAGATGTGGCTTCTATTGAAACATCTACACAAATGAAAAATAGTGATTTTTTCGTTCTCAATTATTCAAAAAGAAAGGTTGCAACTTCTGTTAGCTGCTGATCTGCACTGGCTCGGCAGATGAATTCTGATTGGCTAAAAAAACAAAAGACTTGTGGCGTTGAATGCACGTTCATTCTCAGTAATGTTATGCAAATTAGAAATTCAAACTAGCTAATCATTTACAACCTTCCGAGCCAGTGCAGATTAGCCCTCTGTTAGGGATGTTGCTTCTAATATAGATTTTACGGGTAATTGTCAACATAAATTAGGTAATTTTTCCAAAAATGGCAGCATAGGTTGTCAAAACTTATGAAGTGCACAGCCACATTCAAAATTTGAACAGGAAGACTCAAACATATTTCCCTGCCAAAATTTAGTACATATATTTGCCAATTTCAGTAAATAAGGCTAATAGAATAGTAATTACCTCTCACCTCTAGCCATTTATGCATTTTCCTGTGAATCCATCGTGTCCTCTGTGTCTTCTCCGGCTGGCTCCTCTTCCTCTTTCTTCTCTGGCTTCTCGTATGCCTTCTCACTGGGGGTAACCACCACACCTTCCCAAACAGACATCTCTGTTGCTATAGCTACAAGTAAAATTTAAATTTCACATTTTTTGCAAAGTGTAAACAAAATCACACAAAACAGCATTTTGAATTTCACCTCGCTTCATACTTTTGTTCGAGATATTTGCTTCATAGCTTGAATAGTCTCTTATGACACTGATAGCTGACAGAAATTATGAAACTCCTAAATAACTACCAAGAATATATGCAAAACATGCCTTTGTACCAACAATTAGTAGGATACATAATGGCTGCCATTCGACAATTTAAACCAAAGTGTGAAACAAAATAACGTGCATCAGTGACCCACACAAATGACGGCTGAGAAACAGTTATTTGTTTTTGGTATAAAAATGACAGTAAATTGACATGCATGTGTATACCATATTCTGCCTGTGTTCCAAATTCATGCATGATAGGTCGGGTCGGCATGTCCAATAAATTATATCAGATATACAATACCGGAAACTTAAGTGACGCTATACTCACTTGAATCGCCTTCTAATCCAAGCACTTTTTTAAAACCTCCATGACACAGCACTCTGAGTAGCGTCTGAGCCGTGTAAGCTACCTGATCCTTAGGAGCAAATAAATAAGACAATAATTAACATTTTCTATAGAATAACCTGTAAATATCATATATACTTGAACAATTTTATTATGAAAGATATTGTGGCAGACATTCTCCTAATACTGAATGCTATGCATCTGTCATGACTTCATAGGTATGTAACTTCAAGTGCAAATCATACAGTGAATGTTATGAGATGTTTGAAAAGTTAAGCACCAAGCGACAGATATTGGCAAATGATTACACATTACCTATATGAATAAATATGTACCATATTTGCTCTACTGTAAAATACTTTATTTTGCATGGAGGTAAAGATTCAGTGAAAATAAAATCCAGTGAATATACCTTTTTTCCTATACTTTACATTAAAGTCTCGAAATATCAGTGAAAACAAATTCCATCAAAACACCCACAAATGTCTTTTCAGCGAAAATATTCCAGCAAAATAAAGTACCGGTATTTACAGTATTAGAAATGCAACTCCAATAGAAGCCCACAAAATTAAAAATTGCATTTATTGTATACAACTAATTTGGACAACAGGCTCTGTCAATTATACAAGCAGTGTGCTACTAATTGTGCAATAACTGTATTTTTCCATGCTCACTAGATGTATATGCATACATACAAATCAAACAACTTGCCACATAGACCCCCACATGGAGCGGTCCACAAGAAGTGATCAGAAAGTCCTTACCTGATGTTCCAAAGTCATTGATGTATGCACTCTAATGTTACCACCCTCACATGGATCGGTGATACCGACAGAGCCTGGTAGGAAAAATCCGGATGCCAATAGTTGTAGACATCTTTTGAAAGCGGCGTTGATTGGAAGAGGTTGCCTTGAAGGGTTATTCATGATGGAATAGTGAGCCTACAGAGTAAAAATCACAGATGTTATGAACTAGGTAAAAATTGCTTAGGTAACATCACTGTTTATGATAGATGCACTTATTTGAACTTGAAATTTGCAAAAATGCTTTTACAGAAAACCTTATTCTGGAGTACTGTAAACTGTATTTTTGCTGGAATTAATTTTCACTGAAAAGACTTTTTGGGCGTTTTGTATGGAATTTATTTTCACTGATTTTTGACTGAGTTGAATGTAAAATATAGGCAAAAAAGGTATATTCGCTGGATTTTATTTTCACTAAATCGTTCCTTCAGCGAAAATAGCAAAAATTACCGGTACCTAATTTCAAGCGAAAATAGTATTTTGCAGTACTCTACAGGGTGGAATTATTTACTGGATTTATTTTTACTTATTTCGCTGATCTCAAAATGTGGGAATTTATAACACAATAAACATGCAAGGTTAACAATAGAATGTAATGTTTCCCTCACAACTCAGAAGATTATAATAAACCACTCACCAGCAGATCTACAATCCATGGTGTCAGCGGCTCCAATCCAGTAAATCTAGTTTTCAGATCTTTCAAGATACGGATTAACACTTTGATGCTGGAAGAGATAATTGGCAAGGATTAGTTGTTTCATGCTCCAGTGGAAATATATCTAGTCAACGCACTAGTGTATGTGTCAGTGTTAAAAATCACTTTGTGTTTACACTGCCCTCAAGTGATGAGATTTCTGTGTTTTTTTACTTTTGTTTTTGAGGCACTACATGATCATTCATTAGCTTGTTCAGAATTCAGTCTTTTGTTGATAAGTTTGGATTGCATTCTGTTTCATAATTATTCCTCGCTACTTTGTTTTCTGGCTCTAAGGAGCTTCCAAAGGCAAAACCTAAACAATTGTGGTATATGATTACTTTTGTTTTTTTCACTTGTTTTTGTTTAAAAATCTGAGGGCTTGTAAAAATCTGAAATCTTACCTTGAATGGAATGCATTCTCCTCAAACCATCGGGCATGTCTGACAGCAGCAAGATGACTCTGCATTAATTTACCATCCACTGAAATTATTAATCAACTTAAAGTAAGTAATTATAATTACTAAAGTCTTTTGTGGTTTTATTATTTTTAATAAATACTGATGCATACCTACAATTTATAAAATAATATGCAAAAAAAAGAGTGATATGCGATGAAGTGTGAGATGACGAAATTGTAAGACAGTTTGGATTCTAAAAAAAATAAAATGGGACCAAGAAATCGCCCAGGTTAATTAGTGATTTGACCTGTCAGGTCATCTCCATAAAAACCTTATTACCTCCATAAAAACAAAGGAAAACTGTAAAGTGTAATTAGGAAGTGCCCCAGATGTTGATGCTCCGGATTACTGTATACAAATCCCCAAGCCTTGGCCATTTTGAATTTATAATAAAGTCATTAGAGACATCTTGAATTAGCGAATCAGTTCTCTCGCTAAATTCGCTAAAAAGACATGCTATACTTTCATTACCAATAAAATGAAAAAAATATTGTATTTAAAGTGATTTTTGTTGAAGAAAGATGCACTGGGTGATACTGTAGTGAAATTTTAGGCGGTCTACTTTTTAATCCAGCAAGAAAAAAAATGTATAACATTTTAGATATGCTTCTGCAATAGTTCTTTTCGTTTTCAGGTGGTCCAACTACCGGTGCTGAAAGTCGACATAGGTATTTTTTTTGAATGAAAATAGAAGTCCCCAAAAAATATTTGATGATCATTTGTTTAAATGTTGAACCCTAGGGTGATTTTTCGGATGGGTGAATTTACGGCTGAATTCGGTACATTCTAAAAATACTGAAGCAAATAAGTGATTCTGTACAAGAAATTCACAAAGC